CCCAAATCATTGTTTTTCCGAAGAAAAGCGTCCAATTTTAGCATACACTGCTTGTCGGGAATATGGCGCACAAGACGGGACAAGAGGTCCCCACGACCGCTCCAAGACGGCCCAAGAGGCCCCCCAGAGGCACGAAAACCGGCCCGAGAGAGCGTCAAGAGACCCAAGAGGCGCCCAACACGGCCCCCAGGCGGCCCCAAGAGGCTCCCAGGAGGCGCCCAGGACGGCCCCACACACCCCCAAGACGGCCCAAGAGCGCTCCAAGAGAGCCCAAGACCACCGAAAACGAACCCAAGAAGGCCCAGGAGGCCTCCACGACGGCCCCAGAGACGCCCACGAGGCGTCCAAGGATGGCCCCCAGAGGCGAAAATAATTATTTTCCCGAAGAAAAACGCTCACTTTTAGCATGCGCTGCTTGTCGGGAATATGGCGCAGAAGCTGGTTCCAGGTCCCCACGACCGCCCCAAGGCGGCCCAAGAGGCCCCCAAGACGCACGAAAACCGGCCCGAGAGGGCGTCAAGAGAGCCCAAGAGGCGCCCAAAACAGCCCCAGGGCGACACCAAGAGGCTCCCAGGACGGCCCAAGGTATCCCCAAGACGCTCCAAGAGCGCTCCCACGACAAGCCAAGACTGCCCCTTGCGGCGCCAAGACGGCCCCAGACGCCTCTACGACGGACCAAGAGACGCCGAAGAGGCTTCCCAGGAGGGCCCCAGGAGGCCACAATTATCGCTTTCCCGAGGGGCCCAAGAGGCCAAAATCGTCCCATTCCTGACGGGAAACGCACATTTTCACTGTATCTTGTTTCTTCGTCCTCGCAGCGTCCAAGACGGCTGTACAGGCCCCCCAGCTCCTCCCAAGACCAGCGGCCCCCAGGAGGCCCAAACAGCCCCACACGGCCCCCGGACGGCTCCAGAGGCGCCCGAGACGGCCCACGACGCACCCAAGGCAGCCCCAAGAGCAGTCACTAATGGCCCACGGGACGGCTCCGAGAGGCTCCAGGGGGCGCCAAGACGGCCTCAGGGCACCCCTGGGAGCCCCAAGACAGCCCCAGAGGCCCCCAAGGCAGGCCAGGATATCCCCAAGATTGCTCAGGAGGGCCTCCAGGAGGAGCCCAAAGGCCGAAATCGTCCCATTCCCTATTGGAATCGCCCCAAGACGCGCTCAGAGGCCCTCAGGAGGGCCCCCAAACGGCCACTCACGGCCCCAGGACGGCTCCAGAGGCGCCCGACAGGGCCCAAGACGCACCCAAGACAGCACCAAGAGCAGTTCATAATGGCCCATGACGGTCCCACCGCCCCGTCTCCAAGACGGTTGTACAGGCCCCCACCGCCCCGTCCCCAAGCCTTTCCATCTGCACAGTCTCCAAGACGGCTGTACAGGCCCTCAGATCGCCCAAGACGCTCCCAGACGCCCCCAGGAGGATTTCAAGACGGCCCGAGACGGCCCCGGGACGGCTCCAGCGGCGCCCGAAACGGCAAGGCAGCCCCAATAGCGCCCAAGATGAGCCCAAGACGGCCCCAAGATGGTCCGAGAGGCGCCCGAGACGGCCCCACATCGCCACAAGACGGCCCAAGAGGCACTGAAGACTGCCCAAAAGGGCCCCGAGAGACCCCCAGGAGGCAAAAAAATTGCCCCCAAACTGCCCCCAAGAGGCCTTGGATCCTTCTCTCCCAGCGTCGTCTTTGGGGCGTCTTGGACCCTCTGTGAGCCATTTCCGCGCCTTTGGGGGACGTCTTGGGGCGGTGCGCTCGAAATGTCGATTCGTGTCCTCGCACTGGGGCCCGTCTTAGGGAGTTCGTGGGCCCTCTGGGGCCTTCTGGGAAGCCTCTTGGCCCGTCCTGGAGACTTTTTGGGCCGTCTCGCCGCCCTCTTGCGGGGCCTCTTAGGCTGCGCCCACCGGCCCTTTTGTCACCACACTACCAGATAAACTTATTGTTCGGCCCCGGCGAAGAGCTGATACAACTATCACGGCTACCCTCCCCGCAGAAGCTATGATGAACACAGACTGGGGCGTGAGAAACAGCTTCTGTCCACACCATGTCACGCCTGGGTGCGCTTCCACTGACACCGCCTCCACCACCGCGTTCCTGCCTTCATGCCTACTTGCCTGCATCGCCCCATCTCCTCCTCCAGCGGCCACCTCCTCCATCCACGCCGTCCCCTCCACCCCCCCTTCACCTCCCAGGCCCCGGAGACGCTCCACTTCCACGTCCACGCAATGGCGGGCAGATTCCGCGGCCGGAAGGCCGCGGGTCAGCCCTAGTCTCTACTACATTGCAGGGCCCAGTGCGTGCCAGAATGGCGCAGGCCCCAATGCACCGAAACCGCCCCGGGCTGGCCCCGGGCCGCCCAGGGAGGCCCCAAGCAGGCTCCAGGACATGTCGAGAGGGCCCCCAGAAGCCCCCAAGACGGCCCCGGAGAGCCCCGGCACGCTTAAAGATGGGCCCAAGACGCCCGAGATTCGCCCCAGACGGCCCAAGAGGCGTCCAAGACGCTCGAAGAGGCCTCCCAAGAGGCCTCCCAAGAGGGCCCCGAGCGACAGAAATCGTCGATTTCTATTGTATGTTTCGATGTTTTCGGCCTCCTCGCCTCTTCGGTTTCCCGACGCTCCAAGACGGCCCAAGAAGTCCCCCCGACCGCCCCAAGACGGGCCAGGACGGCCCCAAGACGGTCCCAAGACGCCCCAGGACGGCCCCAGGACGGCCCAGGAGGCGCCCAAGACGGCCCAATAGGCACCCAAGACGGCCCCAGGAGCGGCCCTAGACGGCCCAAGACAGCCCAAGAGGCGCCGAGGCGGGCCTCTGACGGCCCCAAGACGGCCCAAGAGGCACCCAAGACGGCCCGAGAGGGCCCTAAGAGCCCCCCCGGGAGGCCCAAAAGAAGGCCGAAGAGGCTCCGAAACGGCCCCCACGAAGCCTTCAGTGGCTTCAGAATTCCCTCCAGGAGCGGGGGAGCGGACGAGAGGCGACAGGCATATCGCAGGCAAAAACGCCCCAAGAGATCACCAAACGGCCCCCACGAAGCCCTAAGTGGCCTCAGAATTGCTTCCAGGAGGGGGGGAGCGGACGAGAGGCGACCGGCATATCGAAGGCACAAAAGAACAATG